AATGATCAGTTGATTTACTTTTTTTTGTAAATCAACGGATCGTTCCTAGTCATCAAAGGATTAACAGAAAACATGTTGATTGCTGAATCACTGTTATCTTGCACAGTTGATATGTCAAAAGTGAGTGTTTACAAGTCTAGGTTTACTAAAACAAAGGGAATACACTCATACCATGGCGTGAAGTGCCGATGTAAAAACAACATACTTTGTTCAAAGGGTTAACTGATAATACGTTGATTGATTGATCATTGGATTTTTTAGGAACCGTGGACGTTATGAAAATAGTTGTCACGTGGGCTTTCTCAGCCGACCCTTGAGACTTGACACCTATGTGAAACACCTGAAACAATCCAAGTGATCAGTTGAGAAACGAACACGGGTTATAATGTCCCGAAACGATATATATCTTTTAAAATATTTGATTGTGACAAAGGACACGTGACATCGAATAAGTTTCTTTGTACAGCTGCAGACGAGTGGGATAATGTTCTTTTGTGTGGATATTCACGGATACATTCCTCGAACAAGGAAGGTGCCTAACATTTATACACATAAATTTGGTAGGTTGTAATAAAAGTATTTGCATTTTGTTTTCCTTCTTTTGAACCGATTCGTTCTTGTTTCTCTACGCCTGGTTGGGAAATTCTTCAGTGCGCGATAGACGTTGTTTTCACAGGTCTTTTCCTTTGTAAGCGTGTATATATTACCGTCAATTTGTAAAATGTGATTCTCTCAGGCAATTTATAAAAAGTGTAAATATTTCAGTCATTTTGACTAAAAAAATCTGTCCAGATTGATTAAGACAATCAAAATGGCCTATAAACATTCACAACAGATTATTATGTAGGATTAGAAGCCAAACAACATAGAAATGTACTTTTCAAAGTAACATTTTCAGTCTCTTGGTGATGATATTAAACATCAAAATGTTTGGAGTTCGTTAATATAATAATACAGATGGAAATGTTTTTCAGTCACTTTGTAAAATAACTGAATATTTAGACGTTTAATAAATTTGAAAATGTTACACATTTTGACAGTAAAACAAAATTCACACTATAAAAAAGGCAATGCTCAGGTGAAATATTTACTTTATGTTGCAAGTCAAAATAGCGTAAACGAAAATCGCAAAATTGCCAAGCAAGTGACTTATCAAAACTTCGTCACCATTACCAATGCTACCCACAAAGATACCTACATTTCCTTATTATCTCGAAAACTGTATTTCATTTTGTTGATCAATGTGACCATACGCCCTTATTACTACCCATAAAGGTGACTAATGCGCTTACGAAAGGCGCAGCAGAGGTCGCCAACTAGTCTAGATTTCTGCTATACATCCGGGTACTCACTGGGAAAAAACAATAACAAAGGCAACAACCAGTCCCGGGGAATTGCGTTAGATCAGTGCCCCTTTAAACAAGTGACATAATCTCTTCTACAAAAGACATGATCAAAGCCTGCCCCACCTTTGATGTTTATCATCTCGTTACGCTCACAACAGCTCATTAGCAATATGAACTCAATGTCAACTCATGGTGGATTTGGGATTAACAGGGCAATTAGTGTCAGGTGGGTATTATCACTTGCAATTCTCTGTTAATTACTTAATTGAGTAGTGACGGCTTAGTTAGTTTCCAACCACACTGACTGTTATGCTACTTATCAAGTCAGTTTACAGGTAACATGTTAGGTAGTGACCACTTCCCCATAAACATAACCATAGGAAATACAAACGTACCAATCCAAACAGAAAACCAAGAACCAAAATTCCATTACAATAAAGCTAACTGGGACCAATTCCAAGATATCTGCAACGAAGCTAACTTAAACGAAATAGAAAATAATGATCCAGAACTCTATTGTAAAAACCTAACAGACTATATAATAAACGCAGCCAAAACCTCCATCCCCTTCAAAATATCCAACACAGGCAAACCGACGGTACCATGGTGGAATGAGGAAATAGAACAGACTAGACAAAAACGTAAATCAGCCCTCAATAAAGCAAAACGCGACTACAAATATTTACACATAGCCCACGAACTAAACCACCAGGTTCAAAAACTAGTCCAAATAGCCAAAAGTAGAGACTGGAAAAAATTCTGCGAAGGTATAAATAACCGTACTGATGCCAGAACGGTCTGGCGCAAAATCCACGCCATTAGAGGCTTATAACGACATAAAAAAAATACTAACATTAACAACTCAACCAACCCCGCCCAAAAAGCAAATAATCTCGCCAACCACTTTTCGGCCGTTAGCAGTAACATCAACTTCAGCCAAAAATTCCAAGATAAACAGAAAACAAACCCACAAAAGAACCAAACAATAACAATCTAGAAATAAACCAACCCTACACAATGGACGAGCTCCTCTACGTAATCCAAAACAGGAAAAAGGGCACAGCTCCAGGATTAGACCTAACTTCTTACCAAATAATTAAAAAAACTCCCCCTAAAACTACTCCAGGCACTACTCAAACTATACAATCTCATCTAACTAAACGGACAGGTTCCTACTCCCTTGAAACAGGCCCTAGTCATACCAATCCCTAAACCTAATAAACAAGCTAATCAAGCTAACTCATATAGACCAATATCCCTAACTTCAAACTTATGTAAAGTAATGGAATCAATGGCTAAAAATAGATTACAACATTACTTAACCCAAAATAACATCATAAACCCAGATCAAAGCGGTTTCACTCCTGGCCGCTCAACCCTAGATAACCTCGCCCGACTAGAACAAAATATTAAGACAGGACAACTAAATAAACAATATACCACAGGCATCTTCTTAGACTTCTCAAGCTTTCGACATGGTATGGCACGATGGGCTAATACAAAAACTTTAAAAAAATAGGACTCAAAGGTCAGATAATAAACTACATCCAGGACTTCCTAAACAATCGTAAAATGACCGTGGGTATAGACCAAACTCTATCGGACCAATGTCCCCTAGAAAATGGCACTCCACAGGGCAGTATCCTCAGCCCCACCCTCTTCAATATAATGATAAACGATCTATTCGAGGGCCTATCCCCTAAAGTAAACATATCGAAATTCGCGGATGATGGAACCCTCTGGATCCGCACTAAAAACATGAAAATGGCCCAAAATTTACTCCAAAAATCTCTTAATAAAATACAATAGGCTGACAAATGGGGCTTCTCCCTTAACTCAGGAAAAACAACAGGAATAGTATTCAAACATAAAAACATGAAACCCGCCTCCTCAATTCTCCAGCTAAACAACCAAATCAAATCAAATTTCAAAAACAAACCAAATTCTTAAGACTTTTTTTCGATGAACATCTCACCTGGGATGCTCACATCCCAAACCTAACAACTAAATGCAGTAAAGACCTAAACACCCTAAGATGCATAACTGGCTCTAACTGGGGAGCCTCCAAAGATACCCTCCTCTCTCTCTACATATCACTAATTAGATCAAAACTAGACTACGGCTGCGCCATATACAATACCCTAAACAACTCTCTACCTAAAAGACTTGACTCAATACAATATCAGGCTCTCAAACTAATTACACGCACCCAACATGGCACCTCCTACACTTCACTTCAGGCCTTAACAGGAGAAATGCCACTAAGTCTACGCAGGGATCAGCTAAGCTTAAATTTCTGGGCCGCGTCCCAATCAAACCCTCTCATCCAAAACTTAATAAACCAAAACATCAGCCCCAAAAACCAAGCTCTAGCTCGTAAACACCCCTTACTTACCCCAATATCCCAAAGAATAACAAACTACCTAAATGAACACCAAATTAAAAATCTTAAACAAAACTGCAAACAATCAAATATCTTCACCCCTAAACTTAAAATACCCAAAATAGACACAACACTAGCTAGCCAAATAAATAAACAAACCGACCCAAACATAGCTAAAACCACCACACTAGCATACATACACGAAAATTGACCAAATTGGTGTCACATTTACACGGATTACACCTCCAAACACACAGGTGCAACAGTATTCAGGCAGATAGTGGGTGAAGTGCAATAGTATTGAGACCTGTAGATAGTGTGTGAGGTGCAACAGTATTGAGACAGGTAGACGGTAGTTGAGGTGCAACAGTATAAAAGTATTCAGACAGATGGGTGAGGTGCAACAGTACTGAGACACATGGTGGGTGAGGTGCAACAGTATTCAGACCTGTAGATGGTGTGTGAGGTGCAACAGTATTCAGACAGATGGTGGGTGAGGTGCAACAGTTTTGAGACAGATGGTGGGTGAGGTGCAACAGTATTCAGACAGATGGTGGGTGAGGTGCAACAGTATTCAGACAGATGGTGGGTGAGGTGCAACAGTATTCAGACAGATGGTGGATGAGGTGCAACAGTATTGAAACACATGGTTGGTGAGGTGCAACAGTATTCAGACAGATGGTGGGTGAGGTGCAACAGTATTGAGACACATGGTGGGTGAGGTGCAACAGTATTTAGACCTGTAGATGGTGTGTGAGTTGCAACAGTATTCAGACAGATGGTGGGTGAGGTGCAACAGTTTTGAGACAGATGGTGGGTGAGGTGCAACAGTATTCAGACAGATGGTGGGTGAGGTGCAAGAGTATTGAGACACATGGTGGGTAAGGTGCAACAGTATTCAGACAGATGGTGGGTGAGGTGCAAAAGTATTTAGACCTGTAGATGGTGTGTGAGGTGCAACAGTATTGAGACAGGTAGACGGTAAATGAGGTGCAACAGTATTGCAAACTAGAGTCACGAGATAAATATTATGTTATCACTACGAGGGTGGTATGTCAAAATGACCCAAATGAATCGTTGAAAGTTAAAAAAACGCAATCCACGTTTACACCGGGTTTTTGTGAATGTGACATATTCAAGAACCCCTCGAGTACCAAATGGTCGGCCTCTTATGTTCAACATTCTGTCTCTTCGAAACCGGGAAAATTAAAAGAAAACGTACTTGAAACCGCGATATCTCTGTGACCTTGCACAGCAGGAAAGGTTTGTTGTCAAGCAGATTACAGTGTGCAGCGTCGTACTGGCTGCACTCTATCAAAATACCTGGTGTGATTGTCTGACGGAGATACAAATATTCTGCGCCTTTCTAGCTTTGTCTTTGCCTCCTTTCAGCAGGTGGTTATGTATGGTGGAGGAGGGGTCAAGATGTAAGTATTGCTTAACATTGATATCATATTTCATAACTGTAACTGTCCTTTACCCAGGTAATGTATTTCCTTACCCTCTTGGGAATGGAGTAACCTGGTCAAAATGTATAAGTTTGCTCTATTTCACGGACATCATACCCAGCACAAAACCCAGTAGAATACCCTGTACCACACCCTGTAGCATAATCAGCACCATACCTTATACAATACCAAGCACAATACCAAGTCGAATACCCAGCACCATACCCTGAATTATACACAGTAGCATACTCAGCTCTATACCTTATACAATACACAGCACCATACACTGCACTATATCCAGTAGCATACTCAGCACCATACTTTATGTAGAATACCTAGCAGCATACCATGTACAATACCCTGCACCATACCCTGCAGCAAACCCAGCACCACACCCAGCACCACACCCAGCACCACACCCAGCATTACACCAAGCACCACACCCAGCACCACACCCAGCATCACACCCAGCACCACACCCAGCACCACATCCAGCACCACACCCAGCGCAATATCCAGCGCCATACCCAGCACCACACCCAGCATCACACAGAGCACCACACCCAGCACCATACCCAGCACCATATCCAGCACCATACCCAGCACCACACCCAGCACCACACCCAGCACCACATCCAGCACCACACAGAGCACCACACCCAGCACCACACCCAGCATCACACCCAGCACCACACTCAGCACCACACCCAGCACCACACCCAGCACCACACAGAGCACCATACCCAGCACCATATCCAGCACCACATCCAGCACCACACAGAGCGCCACACAGAGCGCCATACCCAGCACCACACCCAGCACCACACCAAGCACCACATCCAGCACCACACAGAGCACCTCACCCAGCACCACACCCAGCACCACACTCAGCACCACACCCAGCACCACACAGAGCACCACACCCAGCACCATACCCAGCACCATATCAAGCGCCATACCCAGCACCACATCCAGCACCTAACCCAGCACCACACCCAGCATCACACCTAGCACCAGACCCAGCACCACACCCTGCACCACACCCAGAGCCACACCCAGCACCACACCCAGCACCACACCCAGCATCATACCAATGACAACACCAAATACCATACCCAGCACCATACCTAGCACCAGACCCAGCACCAGACCCACCACCAGACCCACCACCACACAAACCACCACACACAGCACCACACACAGCACAACACCATGCACCACACCCAACACCAGACCCAACATCATACCAAGTATCACACCCAGCACCACACACAGCACCACATCCAGCACCATACCAAGCACCGTACCCAGCACCACATACAGCACCACACCCAGCACCATACCAAGCAGCACACACAGCACCATACCCAGCACAATACCTAACACCATACCTAACATCATACCCAGCACCACACCCAGCACCACACCCAGCATCACACCCAGCATTACACCCAGCATTACACCCAGCATCACACCCAGCACCACACCCATGATCACACCAAACACCACACCCAGCACGATACACAGCACCACACCCAGCACCTCACACAGCACGACATCAAGCACCACACCCAGCACCAAACCCAGCGCCACACCCAGCACCACATCCAGCACCAGACCCAGCACCAAACCCATCACCACACTCAGCACCACACCCAACACCATACCCAGCACACCACCAAGAACCACACCTATCGCCACACCCAGCACCACATCCAGCACCACACCCAGCACCACATCCAGCACCACACCCAGTCCCACACCCAGCACCACACCAGGCATCACACCAAGCGACATACCCAACACCAAACGAATCACAACACCAAGTACCATACCCATCACCATACCCAGCACCACACACAGCACCACACACAGCACCACACCAAGCACCATACTCAGCACCACATCCAGCACCACACCCAGCACCACACCCAGCACCACACACAGCACCACACACAGCACCACACCCAGCATCACACACAGCACCACACCCAGCACCATACCAATGACAACACCCAGCACCACACCCAGCATCACACCCAGCACCACACCAAGCATCACACCCAGCACCAGACCCAGCACCACACCCTGCACCACACCCAGAACCACACCCAGCACCACACCCAGCATCATACCAATGACAACACCAAATACCATACCCAGCACCATACCTAGCACCAGACCCACCACCAGACCCACCACCAGACCCACCACCACACACAGCACCACACACAGCACCACACCCAGCACCATACCAAGCACCGTACCCAGCACCATACCCAGCGCCATATACAGCACCACACCCAGCACCATACCAAGCAGCACACACAGCACAATACCCAGCACAATACCTAACACCATACCAAGCGCCATACCCATCACCACACCCTGCACTCCAGTCTGCATCACACCCAGCACCACACCCAGCACCACACCCAGCATCACACCCAGCATTACACCCAGCATCACACCCAGCACCATACCCAGCACCACACCCGTGATCACACCAAACACCACACCCAGCACGATACACAGCACCACACCCAGCACCTCACACAGCACGACATCAAGCACCACACCCAGCACCAAACCCAGCGCCACACCCAGCACCACATCCAGCACCAGACCCAGCACCAAACCGATCACCACACTCAGCACCACACCCAACACCATACCCAGCACCCCACCAAGAACCACACCTATCGCCACACCCAGCGCCACATCCAGCACCACACCCAGCACCACATCCAGCACCACACCCAGTCCCACACCCAGCACCACACCAGGCATCACACCCAGCGCCATACCCAACACCAAACGAATCACAACACCAAGTACCACACAAATCACCACACCTAGCACCACACCCAGCACCATACTAATCACAACACCAAGTACCATACCCATCACCATACCCAGCACTACACACAGCACCACACACAGCACCACACCCAGCACCACACCCAGCACCATACACAGCACCACACACAGCACCACACACAGCATCACACCCAGCATCACACCCAGCTTCACACCCAGCACCACACCCAGCACCACACCCAGCACCACACCCAGCACCAGACCCAGCACCATACACAGCACCACACTCAGCACCATACCAAGCAGCACACCCAGCACCACATCCATGATCGTACCCAGCACCATACCCATCGCCATTCCCATCACCACACCCAGCACCACACCCAGCACCATTCTCAGCATGATACCTTGCACCATACCCAGCAGCACACCCATCGCCATACCCATCACCACACCCAGCACCACACCCATCGCCATACCCAGCTCATCGACGAGTGTTTAAAAATTTCATATAAAAAAACAGAAGGGTGACATTCTCTTTAATTGAGACTCTTAACTGTAACATGTATCATCTCGGGGTAGCATCTTTGTCCCCTTCCAGAAGATATATATACAAATCGTGCTAGTCTTTATTGACTTAAAGGCACCCGACCCATATTAATAAAATATGAATGCCTCAGTAGTTCATGATCAGTTAGATTCTTTTTGCGTAAACAATTCAGTCAAGCTTGCAACAATAGATGAAAATGCTGATAACTATATACAGGGAGTCGATATATAACGAGCGTCATGGTCCTGTTGAACAAAATGAGCAAATGATAGAAACTAATTTCAACATTCCCCAGTAGTATTATAACGATATCATGTAGCAGAATATGTGTGTGCACCGTAAAATGATGTCAAAACACGGCTACGGGTGTGATTCATTTTATTAGATGACGAGTATGTATGGTATACTTTCTTTCACACCCTGAAATGCACAATAACACTCAATAAGAATCTTGTAAATTATGACAATTAAAATGAGAACATGATACTTTATTAGGATTACCTTATACATGTATAGAGGATATGTATACGTCAGAACATGGTACATTATTAGAATTACATTATACATACATATAGTTTATGCATACGTCAAATCAAAATACTTCTTAAGTGGTGTAAAATGTGATCAATAGATAAACATAATAATAATAATAATAATATATTTACATGTGGTGATAAGTAAACATACCAGAAGTATGTAGGTTACACTTTAGTCTGTCGCGACTACATAGCCAGGGCTACAGTACCTATAACTATGGAAATTATTCTAAATGTACAATAAAACTAGCTTCCTTACACAGTGCTCTTGCATGTATGTAGGTTACACTTTAGTCTGTCGCGACTACATAGCCAGGGCTACAGTACCTATAACTATGGAAATTATTCTAAATGTACAATAAAACTAGCTTCCTTACACAGTGCTCTTGCACGTGTGGACATTATTATCAAATCAGTGCTATTGTTTATACATATTTACAGATCTGAACACAACACTACCATAAAACACAATTAATTACTAAACATACTAAAACTATCATAAATGCCCACACACTTACAATTAACATTTAACAAATATATGACAAAGCCTTATAAACATATTCAAACAACACCCTGTCCAGGAGAGTCAGACATTGACTAAATCTCACACAGATCATAACAAATACCTTATTTAACGTACACCTATATATAATCTTATTTATGAAAAGATGGTTTATATATGTTTGAGTATTTAATTGGAAACATACCTTGACTTTACAAAATCTATAAAATGTGCCCACTTGCTGTCGTCTGTCAGTGACTTGTCTGTGTAGTGACTGAGGTGCAAGTGAGGGTTAAAAAGCATGCAAAGCTGACCCTAAAGAAAACAATAGGGTCAACCACTCAACCAGAACATTTGCCCTGGCTGACACAAAGGAGCTGATAGGGTAGTGACTGACCCAAGCATAACTAAGTTAAAAGGTGTAGTATCAAATCGTCATTAAAATCCCTGCAAACTAATACTAATACTATATACTAAATACTAATATTAAATACTAATACTAAATATTAATATTAATAATAATAATGACTAATGCTAATACTAACTACACTGTGTATTATATGCACTATAT